GTACTTAAACCTACTTACTAAAAAGAAATTGCAGTCTTCGGGGCTTTTTCCCGAAATCGTTAATGGTACTTTCGATGAAATTTTTATTTTTTAGTACCCTTTTACGGTGTACACTTAACATACACAAACCTGATAACCTATCGTCCCCCATGGTGGATCTGTTCCATGTTTTCACTCGTCGTAAGGTACTAAAAGATCGCTCAATAGAACAGGTAGTAGCTGGTAGAGTACACGCTATTTTAAATGCCAAAGCTACGGCAGGATAAAATTGTTCTGCTTCAGAAATTAAATCGATGTACTCCAAGTTCTTTGAAGGTAGATCTTTAACAGACCACACATCATACCAAGTTTTTGCTTCACTATCAAAATTCGGCAAAAAAACACCATAAATGCTTTTAATATTATTTACAACGTCAAGAAATTTTGATTTTTCCATTTTTTTCATGAATTTTGGGTGCAGATGTATAAGTGAAAATGCTTTCGAAATCGAATGTGCTTTTCCAAAACGATCTGATAGAGATGAAATAATGGAATCCAAATATGGTATGAAGATAGATCTTCTAAAATATTCATCAGCATTTTCGGCTGGATGATTTGAACGGGCAGTTTGCCTTCCGGTTACACGCGGACAATTCATTTCGACTCCTAACTTTTCACAAAATTCTTGAACTTTTGTAAAAATTGAACCAAATTCTTCTGAAGCATTTTCACGATGAGAAGCTAATACAATTATCAAGTTCTCGATGTGATCATTAACGGACATGATGTTCATGTTTACACTTTGAAGTTCTTGGCACACTGGTTCAAGCATTGATGAATAAGTTGCCATAACAGCTAGAGCTACAAGATAACCTGGAGTAGTAACTGTTGTATGCAATTGATAAGCTTTGGTTCGCGTAGCTGAATTTCCACCGTCCAATGAAAGTTCTTTCAAAGCATTTACAATAGCTTCCAAATTTTCGAAAAATAACCGGATGCTTTTGTATTTTGAAGACCAACGAGTCTCACAAAAAAGAGGAATATTTGGTATCAAGTGTCTTCGTAATGTAGACTCGCGAAAAAAATTGATAACTTCCTTAGTGGTACCAGCAGCATTTCGTATTTCTGGGAGATCATTTTGATCATTAATAACGAGGTTTAGTATATGGCTGGCACAATGAAAGAAAACAGCTCGAGGATATTGATCCCTAATTAGTTTTTGGACGCCACCAACATGTCCAGCCATTGTACTACAGCCATCGTATCCTTGACCCACAAGTTGATCTAAATTCAAGCCGCAGTCGTTCAAAAATTGCAAGATAGTTGCAGAAATTGTTTGAGCGTCGAGTTTTTGAAGCGGAACGTATCCTAAAAATTCTTCACAAATAACATACTTCTGCTCGTCGACGTCGTAACGTAGGTACCGCACTCCAATCGACATTTGTTCCGTTCCACTAATATCTGCTGTTTCATCTGCAAGCACAGAAAAAAAAGACGCCTCTTTTACTTCTTGAATAATTTCTGCTTTAAGTACATTCGAACAACTCTGAACTAGTTCATTTTGAGACCTGTGTGATATGTATAACGCTTTCTTTGCACTAAATTCCAAGTGATTTTTCAAAATTTCATCGCCAGCATCCAAACGAAATTCAAGTAGATCACAAAAAACCGAACCTTCTTCTTCATGTCCACGAATAGGTAAGTCGTGAAGAGCACAAAATAACAGCGAAGATATAATTGGTTTAATTTTCGTTCTATTCTCTTCAATAATTTTGCGATAATTTGCATCCGCAAGTTGTTGAACGCTGAGCTTTTTATTGTCCATGTCCATAATTCTTTCGAAGTCGTTGGCAGCTCTCATCGCAGTAATATGCCATTCTTGTTCTACGTGCTTTTTTGCAACGTCCATAAATTTTGTATACGTAGTACAAGGTTGTTGAATAAATCTACCGTCTGACCTACCACGGTTTACAGTACTCGGAGTAGTAAATAAAAAACAAATTCTACAAAAAGGTCCTTTCTCAGCAGCTGAATAAGCTAACCAAGGATATAATTGCAGCCATTTGAATAGAAACGATCTTTTGCCTTCGGGTACATCTTTTTTGAAGTTGTACGTTTCGCCTGGATTCCAAGCTTCCTTCAACAACTTGATGCGGAGTTCATCATTGATATGTCTATTCAAGTACAAACCAATATCTAGTGTACTAAAATTTGATTCAGACGAAATTGAAGGTTCTTCAGTACCAACAAAAATTTTTGGTTCATTAGTCGCAGACACATTTGAATTATTCGAAGAAGAAGAGTCGTCGTCGAGTTTCGGTTTCTTAGCAAAAAAACGTCTTATATCGGTCATTATTTCAGTTAGAGGAAGTGTCACTCAAAATCAATAGATGGAATTGGAAACGACGTAAATTCTGAATTTGAATCTGAAATGGACAACAGAAGAAAACATTATTATGACGTGCTGTGTGCATATTTCCTACCTATTTAACGAATAATGTGGTAGAAAATTCGAGAATACAATCTATAATCTTAGTTAATTCAGTTATTCAAAAATACACAGGTACAGGCCGTTCGTCCTAAGGTGGCGAACGGTCGTTGTGCGCAGTGGTTCAGATTTATATTTAAACTTGCAACGCGTCAGTGGCGTCAAATTTTTTTTTTTAATAAAGATTGATTTTAATTTACTCAATTTTCTTTTATAATAAGTACATTTTACGCAATGGTTTAATAATTTTGAAATGGTAAGTAGGTATATGCAATCATTATTAACGTAAAGGAAACAAAGGAAATTAGTAATATCAAAAAAAGAATCGCCGCCACTGGTGCGTGCAAAAGCAGAGCTCCGGCTCCGGATCTCGAACGTACACTCGGAAAGCTTCGGGATGCGCCGGTTTCCGCCACCTTAGTGTGGTGTCACACTATGCGTTTTTACCGCTCCCGCTAAAACGCTCCTGTTTGACGGGATGATAATATCACACGTTATTAAATGGTACCAGTTCCATATATGCGTTTTCGCCGCACCAACCGGATGCAACCGCATCCTGTTGCCGCTGCGCAGGATGATATGACAACCACAATGACATGAAACCACATGTTGTTGCACGTTGGTTGTCATCAGTTGTCACACTGAGCGTTGCAACCGAGTGTTTTCTTAGGTTTACAATGTTTGATGTCGGTTTATTCATCGAGTGCGTGCATGCAAAATCTGCACTGTGGGAAAAACAATCTAAAGAGTGTGTAGCTAAAAACTGTAGGGAGAAATCATGGGTAAAAATTGCATTTTTGGACATTCGGTAATATACAAAAAAAATTTTCTTGTTCATTCGAATTTTTTCATAAAACTTCTCGAACCTATTATTAGATTCTCGTTCTGAATTAAAAGGTTCAATTCAATATTGACGATATATCTGCTTCCGCAATAACCCCTCCGCCTAAAGCGCACAAACCATCTTTACCATTGAGTTAGAAAACTAAATCTTTACCAATATAATTGAGACATGACACTACTTAGACTGCCAAAATATAGCAAAAATGCATCCCGTTAGACCGGAATAGTGTGACAAGTAGATCTCATCCTGTCAAACCGCATCCGTTTTAGCGGGAGCGGTAAAAACGCATAGTGTGACACCACACTTAGGACGAACGGCCTGTACATACCTTTTCAATTTGATAACATCAATATATCGACGACGACGGATTAAAGGAAACGATAAAAAACGTAAAAATGATCACAGTAACGTAAAAGCTAAACATATACTCACATTACATTAATCATTTAATCAATTTTTTTAATCACTATTTGCACACTTAACACGTGTTCGAATGCGCGACGCTGGACGTGTTGTAACTTGCACATGCACAGCAGAGCGTTTTTGAATTATTCCGTCATGACTCATGCGTCATGCATTTGACTCAAATTAAAATTATGGTTGTCACAATTTTCTCTCGCTACCTCATCTGAATATTCTATGGGCGCGCATGCCAGGTAAAGGGTCTTGGGCAATCGAAAGTCCAGACAAAGAGTCAGGAGCTGTGGAAGATCCAGGCTGAATAGTAAATTGTGACTGTTCTTCCACTGAAAAAAACATTACATTGAAAATGTGACGCTAGAAAAAACTAAGTAAAAATGCATAATAATGATGCAAAATCTTATATAAATCGATACCTTCTGTCTCTTCAGCCGCTTCAGGCGGTAAGACTGGAATTGGCTCATCCAGATCCAGATTCGCATTCTGCGTCGTATCTATCGTCCATGTTGGAGCACGCTTTTCTGGATCCAAGTAGTTTCCTATCCACTGCTGCACCTGATGAAAAACCCTAAAGGCGTCTTGTTGGGCATACCGCAAAACAAAAGCAAGCGGTCGCCATAGGAATGAAGTGTTGGGAGTGATAGACGCGCCTTAGGTCCTCTTCTACGTTGAATTAAGTTTTTTGTTGATCACTTGTTTATTCCTCGATTTGAAAGAGGTGGTACTGGGCGCTTTTGTAAAAATTAAAAAAATCGTGTTTTTTTAGCGAACTCCAACGCGGGTACCGCTTATCGCAAAATAAAAGCTAAATAATGTATTTTGTAGGAAATTTTATTTGCTTTAATTTTGTATAAGGCGCCCATCTTCAAAAAACGTATGTTTTTGAGATATGAGCAAAAAACTGAAAAAAGGACTGAAAAATTCCAATTTTTTGCGTATTTCGGTATGAAGCCGACTTCCTACAAGGCAGCAAACAATAAATTCGGATGCAGCACATTCGATAACATATAAAACCGTTGATAAAAACACTTCCGCAATTTTGTTCCGAAAACGGCAGTTTTAAACACGCATTTACTGGACTTCCAGTGGCTGTTTTATATCCCACCAGCATTATTCAATATTGTTTATTGCCAGTGAACTAATAACGAATCTACGTTCGTGCTTGAAAGACAAGGCCACAGCTAACTACTACCACAATTATTAAACACCCGTTACATACTACCACAACCAAATAATGCTTTGCGGAACTAACCGAAAACTTGTTTATAGGTGTTACACTAGCAAAAGATCCAAAACTTTGTATGCGCTCCTCGGACTCCAAATGTGAACACAGATGCGGATCGGAAAAGGATCCTGTGTGCGGAACGGATGGGAGAACATACTTAAACCGTTGCATGTTACAAGTGGAAATATGCCGGTATATTGTGACGTTAAAACGTATAACTGAATCACACACACTGTTTTAGGATCGGAATTAACTTGTCGCACTTAGGCCCTTGTAATAATATTAGCGCACACCGGGAGAATTGTCCAGTAGACTGCAAGCAAGCACCTCAAGATGGTCCCATTTGCGGAAGCGATGGGAACGTTTACAAAAATACGTGCCAAATGAAGCTCTTAACTTGCGGGTACGTTAGATCTGTTTAGCGTGGATTACAATCATCAGTCGTAATTTTTCAGACAAGGCGTAGTACGAACGAATAAAAAATACTGCCAAACTACCAGACATTGCCGGGAATCGTGCTGGAGAAACGCCAGACCTGTTTGCGCTTCCGATGGAAAAATATATTCGAATATTTGCAGAATGAAATCCAAAAACTGCGGGTTAGTATGCAATTCCCCATTTCGCTCTACCCAAAGAATTGATCCGTAGCAAACACGTGTTCGAAGTACCAATGGCTTTCTGCAGCAGCCAAGAGCGAACCTCGCACAGTTTGAGCTGTCCTTCAGGGTGCGCTAATGAAATTGAGAAAGCCACTTGCGGTTCGGATGGCAACATATACAAAAATGAATGTGAGATCAAACTGTTGAATTGCGGGTCAGTTAAGTGGAACTTCCTCCTTTCTTATTCATTGCATGCTTTACGTTTCAGATCTTCGAAAAAAGTTACAAAAGTTGATTTGGATAAATGTCAGGCCAAAATGACAAAATGCCATAAAGTCAAATGTTCGGCGGAATCTGACCCCGTCTGTGGTTCTGACGCCATAACCTACATGAACCAGTGTCACCTAAATCGGGCGACTTGTCTTAAAGGTGTGCAATTTGCTCATCTTGGAAACTGTACTACATTAAAAGAAGTTAAGCCATGTCCTAAACAGTGTAATGATGTATCTGAAGAACCGGTGTGTGGGTCGGATGGTAATGTTTATAAGTACGAATCTTGCACGTTTCTACGATGTGCCGGTATAAAAACTGTTTCTTAATAGGTCACTGTGTGAGATGAAAAAGGAAACTTGCGGACAGTTGGTAATAGAAGTTCCTCTCCACCATTGCAAAACGACAGCTTCTTGTAATGTTGACTGTGACGAACAGAAACAGTTCGTCTGTGGGTCGGACAATAAATTTTACAAGAACGAGTGTGAAATGAAACGTGAAAATTGCGGGTAAGTAAACAGGCGATATGCTCGATTACTCTTTACCATCTATTTTTTACAGCAAGCATATTTACGTCGTTCCAATAAAGAGGTGTCTGGCTGGTTTCGTATTCAAAGGTTGTCAAAAAATCTGTCCGACATACTACGAGCCAATCTGTGGCACAGACAATATGACTTACAGTAATCAGTGCTTCCTAGAAATGGAAAACTGTAGATCACGATCACTCGTCACTAGGAAGTCTATGGGAACTTGTACTGAACCGATCGATGAAATTCCTAAGAATTATTTGTATTGAGTATGATGTGCGCTAAATTATTAATCGGACTTTCGTGAATCTCATCATTTGATAAGGCTTAAAATGTTTATAAAATATTGAAGTATTAGCATTTGGTAGTTACGGTGAATAATTTATTTATAAAATGTGCCAATTGCCAATATAGATCAACGATTACCTATACATAATAACCATTATGCCAATTAGTTGATAATTATGATATTCCGAGCTGTGTGTCTATATTTATTTTAGTTATAAGGCTGTAATATGATTGAAAATAAATTTATTTATAAGTATTACTCCTACTTACTCTTTCTGACTCAAATTACATAAAAACAGAGCAAAATCATAAAGTCATTTTAGAGAAGCGTTCTTCGTAGTTTGTCACGTACTAAACACACCGAACCTGTTTCCAATCTTTGGATGCAAGGTGGTGACAAAGCTTTGTTAACGGCTGGATCTCGTGGATTAATCGTATAGCAAATTTACAGTAGCATATATTAGGGGCTTTGGGGGGAAGAGGCGTGGGACTTCCGGTGAGACAAAACTTTTTATATTTGAACTGGAAATTATTGTTGGCTTATGACATGAACTGTCAAGGGGAGTCGATGGCCTATTATCTTTTTCCTCAAGACCAGAAGGCATTTTCGGTGATTCCTTACGTGAGCAATTCTCCTTCGAAATCGATAGCTGACTATCACGACTAGAAATTTATGTCGTCGACTCATTCGGTGAACAATTGTCTTGTGAAGTTGATGGCTGAGTTTCCACTATTGATTGTTGTCTATGTCAGCAGTGTAACTTTTGGGGTTATCACGATCTGTGACGTAAGCTGGCAAAAAGTCTTTTTCTTTGAAGATACCTTTATCAAAAGGTACAATACCGGTGCATTTAAACCCCGATTTGATGTTTGTGGGTGTTGCAACCCTATCCCAAGATTGCAAACCAATGGCGATAGGAAGATCATTATAGAGTTTGACCAGGATGCGTTCATAGCCACGAATTTATACCCTTATTAAAGAAAGTTAATCTGTTGTAATTTATTGGGCGTGTGGGGTGAGGAGGTCAAGATCACAATTCCACTGGATCGACAATACTCAATTCCTGGCAAGGATAAGTGGGAATCGTGGCTGTCCATTATTAGGAAAATTTTGTTAGTTACTGAACAGTTTGTATTTTTTACTAAGTGCTTTAAAACCGCTAGGAAATTATTTGCTTTCATCCAGCCGCTGGGATGGACCAACCCTAAAGTTTCAGTGCCTGACACCTCCTTCATCATTCTTTTTTCATCATAGCGCTGTCTGGGAAAGATCCACACTGGTGGCAAAGCGACTCCTGCTGCAGAAATAATTCCTACTTGTGTTATAAGTTCACTTCTTTCTCGAGAAGTTGCCTGGCCTATTTGATGTTCACCCTTTCTTCCGACAATTTTAGGAACTCTCTGGACTGTGGTCACACCAGTCTGATAATAAAGTTACATTTGAACTATGATGTTCAAACGGACTTGCAGCAAAAACTTACCTCATCAAAATTAAAAATTTGCAATGGTTCAAATGAGTAACGGCCAAGTTCGGCAAGTTTATCCTGAAATATTTTCAGATTGGTAGGATTCAAGCCGGTCATTCGTGCCAAACTTGTCGCCTCAGGTTTTCTAATGGCTAGTCTTGGATGGCGCTTTAAAACAGTGTTTCTCAAACTGGGGGGCGCGTCCCCCGGGGGAGGGGGCACAAGGCGATGTTAAGGGGGGCGCGACATCCCTAATGTGTTTGAGGCAAATATTTAGCTCCTGCCCCAAATTTTTCAACGTCAATTTCTGTGCTGCTACCTTTGTAGATTACAAAATCATATGCAATACCCGATCTGCCACACACCACAAATATTTTTACACCCCAAGGGTGGGGTTCAAGTTCAATGTGCATGTAATAGCCATTTGATTAAATACTGAGAAAACTGTAATCAATCCAACATTATTTTGTGTACTTTTTTTGTGTACTACATAGGTAAATCAGGTAGGTTTGAAACAGTTGCTTACACGTGACACAACCTAATTTCAATTTGTACTCAACCCTTGGACCATATACTTTTATTTTTTGTTTTTTTTCGCTCAATCATTACAGTTTTAAATTAATGTTTAAAAATAAAAAGGCACGAAATGTAATTATAACCAATTTTCGGAATTGTTCAGGCTGGAAATAAAAAACAACGACCTTATTGCCGTTTTTTTTATTATTTACATTGTTGAGAACATAATGGATTTAGTCGCATTAACACTTTTACTGCCTTTCACCTGCTTCGCCCTAGAATTATTGATTTGCTCTTCCAAGTCGTCTTTATTATGGGGTAGGTAGATATCAATATTGTCGCTTTTCCTCTTCGCCTTGTAGCTTTCCTTTTGGAATAGGACAAACAACTTCTGGCCCCTACCGTGAAACTAGTGGAACACCCTGGAAGTGCAGCGTCGTCTGACGGTGCTAGATTGCCATGCAAGGGCGTGTTGTTTCCGGTATCAGCAGGTTGCTGCGGTGGTGGAGTTTGACGATCGTTAATAATATGCTGCTCTATTTCAGGAATCTCTGCATCTGTAGGACGTTCAGTAACGTCTGACAGAGTGAAGTCGATATCGGTAAACACATTTGGGTTTAGGGGCAAAATTCCGGGTTTTGAAAACGCATGCATAGCTGTGTACATAGAAGCGGTTTTGGTAAAGTTAACTACCCACGTTAGTATTTTGGGAGACTTTCCAACAAATACAGTTTCGAAAATACGGAAACATGAAATGTCAAATAAAAAACTGTAAAAACACTTGCAAACATGGTGACGATGATATTTTCAACAATTATTGTTCCCAGAGGTGCATTTGGAGAAAACATGATGCGACCAATAGAAAATAACCCCACCGTATGGCCGGCCACACTGTCTTTATAAAGTCACTATACTCTGAAAGGGCTAAGGAATCGTAATTTTTTGAGCTGGGTAATTCGGGTGCGGTTAGTTTAGTTAACGTTTGGTAAATTTTCGGGTTTAAATATCCTATTATGTAGAATTTGCGTACAAAGGCTATCCTTGTTTGGGGTAGTACCCAGTACCCACGTAATTTTAAGAGATTATCCAAAGGCTGTAAATAAGAATCTAACGATTGATTGTTTTCGTCGTAAGGATGCCAATTATCTCTCGTAATTGGTGTTTTATTTTGTGTAAGCATTAACCTTTGTGTATCCTGTATTGATTTGAGAAATGAGGTAATTTCTCCAAAAATTTGCGTGTAATCGACGTTAGAAGTCTCCGCCATTTTTGTTATTTTCCGTAATTTGGGAAAATTATCAGGAAGTAAGGATACGCCTAGAGGGATGTCAAGGCTAAAGGTAGGTAATGTGAGCCCTTGATCAGAAGGCTTATTTAATTAGGTTTGGACTGTGTAAATTTTACGCATTATGTTTGCCAAGGTTACGTTTTAATCCTCGGACCTCGTCGCCAGATTTGTAGTGTTTGTAAAGGATACACAAGCACTGATTTATTTAAACACAAGCGTGAAAATTTATCACTTAACGACACAAGTACAAAATAACGAAAAACGTGCTGTTAACAAAACCGTGCGTTATGCTTATGTTTTTTTCTATTTCGGTGTAAATGAGATTTTTGTACAACTGTTTTCGCCAAGAACAGTATCACGAAGCACCTGAACCACTTTATACACAACAATTAGTAGATTGTTAGGTATACTCATCGGCACGAAAAACGGAGTCGTTTCAGTCAGTTTAGCACATCACCAATTTGTGCTTTTACGTCATGCTTTTAGCGAAGTTGAGGTAAAGCTTATGTGCTCGATTTTCGTCGTCCGCCTGTCCATCGAGATCGCGGCCCCTGGGGCACCTAGAGACTTCTGGTTTTGGCTAATTGATAGCTGTTATGGTCTATATTTGCTCGTTACGTATCATTTACAGTTGTTATGCGACAACACCCACGAGTGGGTTTTGAAACATTTTTTTTATTGCTACAAAACACTTCTTTAAAAAAAGTTTCAATTGTTGGAAATACTGTTTTACACCTCATCTCAAAGAGTGAAAGCATTAAAATTTTAAGTTTGTTTAACAAATTCAACTGCTCGTTTTCCGTGCTAGTGAGGATATTTATTAATGTAATTTATTGTTGATGTATTGTTAATGTTCGAGTACAGCTACTTTACGTTTGAATTATTTTTTCATGTTTTAAAACTAGTGACTTGTCCTTGATTTTTCTAAAAATAAGCAATCTTACAAAATAATGATCAAACGTAGCAATGTCTTTGGTCTTTACATTTCCACTTATCTAGTTCGGGATCTATTAACTCCTTTAAGCGTTCAACTATTATCTTACGAATATTTCTTTCACTTTTAAGCAGCTCAAATAGTATAATTTGTATAATTTGACAAAGCGGGTTTACTGAAATCATATTTTTCTTTGTAGTATTTTTTAAACACAAGACGTGGGCCACTTTTTGAAAATAATAATTTTATTGTTTACTCATCCAGTAGTGGGAAACTTTGATCGGTTATCCCTTCCTCTGAAATTGTCATAGGTATACTTAATGATATCATAATTCATAATTTATTATAGGATCAGTAAAGTACGACCTTTGATAAGACGTAAAAATAAAAAAATGTTCAATTGCTATACTAAAATAGGTAAACCTATTGTGGGTGTTAAAGAACCGAGCCCAAAATAAAGCCTTTAGGCTGGCTTAATTTGTAATTACATTTAAGCCAAACATTGCGTTAAAAAACAATAACTAGGGCGAGTAGCATATTCGGATGTGGCGCCGTCTGGTAGCGAATTTAACATAAGATGTGGTGAAACAAGTTCATCGACCGTTTATTACTGTATTACTATTTACAAGCTTACTCCAAATAAAACAACAATTATGACTTCGAAAAACACTTTTCGTTCGTCCAGAGTTTCTTGTTGTGGTGTTGGATGCAGTAATTCGTACATAAATATGGACTCTTCTGTAAAATTGTACAGCTTTCCCAACAAACTATATGAATTGCAAAGAAGAGAAAATTGGATAAAGAAAGTGAGAAGAGTGTAGGTACCTACACATCTGTTTTGCTATTATTTTACATAGTTTCGTCTTCAGAACGGCCGTTTTTTTTTTATTTTTCTTTTGTGTGCAATAATCCAATTTGAGGTTATGATCAAGCGATTAAAAGGGATCCCCGCGTTAAATGACTTGTAAAACGGCCCCTTGCTCCCGACTTGTTGTGTAGACGGTTTCCTGATATTTTCCAATTTTCACCCACCAAAGAATATA